GTAAACATCTAAGGAATATGGGAAAACTCCATAAAGAAGGTGTTTGGGTGCCTCGAACTCTCCAATGATCATCATTTCCAACGGGTGAACGTTGTTTCGTCTCTTCTGTTGCGTAATGTGCATGAACCATTTGTGGACAGAATTATCACCCGTGATGAAAAATGGATTCTCTATGAGAATGTGATGCTTTGCATTTGGTGGGACATCAAAGGAGTAATTCATTTCAAACTCCTCAATTCACAGTGAATTGTCAATGCAGAGATCTATAGTAAGCAACTGGAACATTTAAATCAAGCCCTACATCAGAAATGCCCTTCACTCATCAGTCAGATAGGTGTTCTTCTTCTCCATGACAATACATGTCCACATGTGGCATATTTGATGCAACACAAGATTATGGAGTTGGGTTTGGAAGTTCTTCCCCACCCACCATACTATCCAGATATGGCACCATCAGATTACCATCTTTTTCGTTCGGTGCAACACCATCTTAATGGGAAAATGTATGCAAGTGTGGAAGATGTTAAAGAGGACATTGACAAGTTTTCTGCTTCAAAACCAAGTGATTTCTTTAATCAGGGCATTAAAAACCTGATTGTAAGATGAAAAAGCATCATCGATGAGAATGGAAACTATTTCATTTAATAAATGTTTTGTTTTGATATATAAGTTGTTTGAGTTTTTTTCATCTAAAAAAAGGGACATTAATTTCTTGATGACCTAACACTTCATATCTATGCAGTATCACACTAAAGTTTATTTCTTTTTGTACAGAAGACAACACACACAAAACACTTCTTAGTAACCATATAGTTATACACTGAAATGTTAATCTTTCAAAAGAAACTATTTAAATAATTGCTCAAATAACTGTACTGTATATTTAAAATACATAAAAATGAGTATGAGCTTTCACTGCTACTCAACCTTCTACTATACAACAGTGTTCTTAAAAACTTTTAGTCCAGAAATATAATTAACCCATAAACTACTATGTAACTCGTTTAAACATGGAATCTTCACTTACTAAAACACACCCATTAAAGTATAGACATTTTAAATTGCAATTGTGTCATAAAATACGGCCTATTTCATAATAGTTTAATTTGAATACTTCTATGATTAGATAGTTAGTCAGTCAGTGATATATCAGATACAACAAATCCTATAATGAAGAAGGCAAAACAGCATGGGCAAAAATAAAATGCTGATAAGTTTAAACTCAGTAGCAAAATACTACTGTGAACTAGTCTAAGCTATTAAAGCAAAAATATGTCGTTGTTGGTCAAAATGTGTTGCATAGGTTAGAAGATTTTCAAATTTAAATAAGTAATACAGTACCCCTGTTAACTTTTAAATCTAGGCTAATATCATATTATTAAAGAATGTTATGTTGTTAAAAACCTCGTTGGGCAGTTATAAAGTTGCAAGAAAAAATAATGAATAGTGTATATATATATATATTTTACATATGTGGTATTACAGGACTGCCAAATGACGTGATGAATTACAAAATACTAAAGTAACAGTATGTGCAATAAGTTGATCTTATATCATATTTTTAATTTAAATGTGCTTTAAACACAACCTTCATAGTTCTATTAATGTACAATAACTTCTACCTTTTATGCCCTTAACTATAAAAGCAAAGTTATTCCAGTGTTTCATGAATGTGATAATCAGTAAATATGTAGTATTCCACAATACAATTCTCTGTACAGAAAACAAGATAATATAATACATTATTTGATACATTAAAAACTTTTGCTTTCTATTGTTTCTAAATAGTATAGTATTAAGGATCAAAGAGAACTACTAGCAATTTGTGAAAGAGAGGATCTGACAGGTGAATGTGGCAAGTGGGCCTGATTTTCTAGTTAATAACTAGATTTTCTAGCTTATGGCTTTGTAACCAAACAAGATTGAAGACTATAAAAATTATGCTATGCCTGAGTAATAACGATATTATAACGAGTAATTTACGTTAAATTCTTTATTTTCTTGGAGGGGTGGTAAATAAATTAAAGAAGGAAGAAGACCTAGAGAGCAAACGTCAGAATTCTCATACTAGGGCGAATTGAGAATTTTTTTATTTTGATATTGTCTTAAAAAATTAAAAAGTTAAAACTTATATAATACTAATATTGGGGTTATTAGCTACATTTTGATGCTATGTTTTATTTGCATATCATGGTAATAAAGCAGTTGAATTAAATTTTGAATATAACTAAACCCTCGTGACATGTGCAGAAAAGGATGCCCATATGGAAAAAGTTAAATGAATATGTTAAGGAGCAATGGTTGAAGTCTATACATCATCATCAAAATATTGCAATTAAGGAAGAGTAAACAATATCAAAACATTATCTCCTATGTGCACATGTTAGGGGGTAATGAAAGAGAATAAAACATGAACATCTAAGTATGGGTGCTAAAAAGGAACGAAATTGAAGCACCATCTACCTTGTGTATATATTAAGGAGTAAATAACTATAACTAAACTATGATGAAACAACATATCCTGTGTGTTACATGTGAAGAAGTAATGAAAGAGAAATAAACATTAACATCTAAATATACATGCTAAGAACATCAACTGTTGTGTATACAGAAAAGGTCAATGAACCATGACTAAATATAATATTCTAAGTGGGACATCATGAGGAGGAACTAACTGTGTCTAAACATTATCTCCCATAGGTAGATGTAAAGGAGTAATGAACTATGGGAAAACATTAACCCCAATGAGTTACATATTAAGGAGTAATGAACAATTTCAAAACAATATTTTCTATGTGTACATGGTAAGAAGTAAGAACTAGAACCAAACCTTAACAAGGATGTGTACATGACAAGGAATAATTAACCAAGACTAAGCATTATTTTCAATGTGTACATGTGAAAATGTAAAGAACAAGAACAAAACATTAACTTCTAGGCACATACATTTTAAAGTATAAAGAACTAGAATCAAACATTTAGAGTTATGTGTACATGACAATGTTTAATCAACTAAGACTAAGCATTATCTTTCATGTGTACATGTGAAAAAAGTAATAAACTAGATGTAAGTATCACTTTCTATGTGGACATGGTAAGGGGTAATGAAAAAATCAAAACATTATCTTCTTTTATCTAATATGTGGGCATGGATGTGTACATTGTAAAGAGTAATTAACCAAGACTAAGTATTATTTTCCATATGTATAAGTGAAGAGGTAATGAACAAGAACAAATATTAATAGTCATGTATATATGGCAAGGTATAATCAATTAAGACTAAGTATTATCTATCAAGAGTAGATGTGAAGAAGTAATGAACAAAATGTAAACATTACCTTCTACTTGAACATATTAAGGAGTAATAAACCAGAATGAAATGTCAACTACTATATGTTACATGTGAAAGAGCAACTAACTGTAACTAAACATTAATGGCTATGTTTACATGGAAAGAAATAAGTGAATGTGACCAACCATTAATGCCTATGTGTATATACAAAAGACAGATGAACTATGATGAAAAATAATATATTAAGTGGTATATGTTAAGGAGTAAGTAACTAAAATTAAAAATTATCATATAAGTAGTACAAGTTAAAGAGTAATGAACTAGTTCTAAACGATGTATCATATGTGGATATGTTACAGAGTAATACATAATGTCTAAACATTAAGTCCTAATGGTTACATGTCAATGAAGAATAAACTATATTTTAGCTATAACGTCTATGTGTTATCTGGTAAGGTAGAAAGGACGAGGCATAAAACAGCAGGCACAAATTGAACCCCAATGTCAATGAAAAGTGTGGCACTAACATTAACAGGGGAGAAGAAAGGAAACAACAGCTAGAAAGCATATGTAAGGCAGGAATAGTTAAGAGATATTCAGTAGATATAGAAGTATTGGGTAGAAAAGTCACTCCATTTTGTTCTCCTCAACTTCAGAAGAGGGTCTAGGTGGCAATATGGACCTCACCATATGTTGGATGATGGTACATTACTCTTCTTTTTCCTGTATTTGTCAACATAAGCAACACCTTTCTCAATACATAATGGCTGTCACGATCTAAACAAGCAGAGAACTTCCTAAATTATTGGTAACTGTAACTGAGATTTGAACTGACATCAGCAAAAAAATAATTTACATTAATCTATGATTTCATAGTGAAAAGTTGAAAATACAATGTAAAGTGGTGTTAATAAGTACTTCAACAAGTCTCAGTAAAAAAACAAACAAACAAATCTTAGCTTGAGAGTGATTAGGAAACGAATGAGGATTTTCACACATGAATGTAGAGGGAGCATCTGCAAAGAGAGGTATGTCACACTCCTACTGGTGGAGAATTTTGATGTATGATATGTGCAGTAGTGCAAATTCACATGTTTTCACATGGCATTTGAACCTCTAAGTCAGAATAGTGTGACTTCAAAAGAAAAACTAGCCAATCTATGCAAAGAGGTGAGTCATCACATCAGAATTTACACATCAGTGTATGTGAGGTAATAGCTCTTTGTCATGCAGAGAGGTGATTAACAATTCTGAACTAGAATTATCTTTTATTGTTACAGATTTAATTCTTGTAAACCTTTTGCAAATAATGCTTATAATATGATGCACCTGTTACAAATGTTATATAATACATTTCTTTCAACAACAATTTGAAATTGCCTGTAGCAAAGAATGTCATAATATTCTGTATAGCATTTTCCCGTTGATTATTACAGGTTGGTTTCATAATTGAATACTTTTCCTATTGAACGTGTATTTCTTTAAAAACAAGTAAAGAAAAAACTTTTCAAAAAGAAAATAAATGTAGAGATGGCTAATATCAATCCTTCAAAAACAATGCAAACAAGATAGTAGTGATGCACAGGCACACAGTGTAGTAGAATGTTAACAGAAAAAATAGAATAAATTAAACTCAATTGTGATTCAATAGTTATATATATATATGTATATATATATATATATATAT